CTCTTATCATAGCTTCAAGCAAGGTCAGAGTTTGGTTGTGCCAGGACAAAGGGATTTGCCAGGAATACGATTGTTTCTCACAAAATGCAAAGGTAGAGATCTGAAAGCAATCAAAGTTATGTTGAAGAATGATCACAGGGGGACAGGCACATCCATAAGAAAGTAGCCAGCTGGGAGTGGGGTTCTGTATTCATCCAGCCACCATACACAGACAGGGTTCCCATGCTGGTAAGCCTCTGCCATCCTGGCCAGCCCTGGGGATAGAACAGTCCCGGGGACACCGCCCAGACAACATAGCTCCAGCTTTTCCTGGGATTTAATCTAAATCTGCTGTGCTGTATTTTGAACTCATAGCCTCAAACATATCCAATTCCTTCAGCCTTTGCTCACATGACTTGCATTTTATCTTTATAGCTCCTCTCTGGGGCTTTTCCAGTTTCTCTACATCTTTTCTATTTATCAGTGACCTAATACGGATAATAGCGAGGCCTTCCCAGATCCGAGTAAAGTGGTTCCCTTTTCCCAGGAAAGGAATGATGTCCCTCTCAGAAACCCACTCAAACTCTGGTTTCAGGCACAATTTCTCAGTACAATTTCAACTTTCAGAAAATCCCTCTAAGTCAGATAATTTTCAACCCACTCAAAGTACAATACATGGAACCATAACACTCCTCCATTCCTACTCCAGCATCACCATCTTCAGGTCCCTCATTTGATAGTCCAAATCCCTCACCCCCAATTTCAGAACCTTGACCTCTGGCCCGTGTTCTTCTTGCAGCCATTTCCTTGAAGCCCTCAACTAGAACCTCATGTAAGAGGGTTCCCCTTGAAGCATTCTACTCCTCAGATCTCTGCCTTCAAGTTCTATCCATTCTTGTGGGAACCTCCAAAATCAACCTTATAGGTTTTATACTTGGCTTGCAGTGACTGAGCTGGTTCTCCGTCTTCACCTATGATCCTGTTCAAAAGCCTTCTGTATGGGAGAGTTTGCCAGATCTGGCCAGTTCTCTCTGACTGCAGCGCTCTCTAAATAGTTCTCATCCAGTTCTCTCTTGCCCCAATTCTCTTCACTACCAGCTCTCAACTACTGCCTTCTTGGGTTACATGCAGCTCTTTCTGGCTCCTTTTTTTTAATTACTGCCTGGATCTTTGGTAGAGGTCAGGTGTCCATGACCAGATGACCAGGCCCCACAGAGAGGCAGCAAATCACAGGTGAATTGGACCCATTCCCTCTTTATGGAAACAGTTATCCTGTGATGCCTATATGCTCCGCTCAACTAACTTAAGAACTGGGAAGCAGAAGAATGTGAGTTGGTCAGGTGGATAAAAATGGGGAGTTCCAATACCTGTTCCCTGAGGACTCTCCTCTGTGTCATAAGAAGCAGGTGGAAATAGTTCCTAGGGCCAAGAGAAGGCTCTGGGAAAGGCAGAAGGGGCAACCTCCTCATGGTTCTATGTGTGGCCCCCACACACACTCTGCCCCCACACCTCACATGTGCAGGGCCCCTGCATTTACCTACTCCATTCCCTCTCAGAACTTACAAAGTGCCATGAATTGGCTGATTTGCATCCCATCCCCACTTCTCCCCTTCCCTCACAGTTTGAAATGAGAAGTGTCGTACATTTAAAGTGAGGGCATCTGTGAGGTGTATGCTAATTACACACAACAGTCTGAGGGCCATGGGCTCCCTCTGCTTCTGTATGTTCCTTTTGTGGCAATTTAATTTGCCACTAACCATGGATCACTTTGTGTGGAAAAGGCTTGATAAAGAAGGAGAATCAAGTGCAATGTACTTAATCTTATTCTTGGGGTTACGGTTTGTGCACAAGCCCGATTTCAATCTTGCATCCCATTGAGATGGAGGGCCAATCATGCAGCCTACTCACTAGCCTTGGTTGCCCATCACTGACTAACAACATTTCCTTTTCCCTGTATCCCATTCCCACTGTTCTTACAATGGGAGGGGTCTAATAAAGCCTGAAGGATCTGACTGATTCCTTGAGCATGTAAAACTCCCAATTAAGTTTAATGGGAATACTAATTGTACAAAGACAGCAGGATAAATCCGGAGAAGCAGATCTTTAAGAAAATCTCATGCAAACTGTTTTTCATAATATTTTACAGTGTACTGTGCAAGTTAATTAACATAATATATAATTGTGATTGCCCCAAACACAGCTTTTTGAATATATTCCATAACATATTCCCTCCCCCTTGTTTTTAAGGGTTGACTTTGGTAAGGGTACCTTTGGTGAGTATATTCAGAGGCCAAGATGATGGTGAATGAAGGGTAAAAACCATAGTTTTAGCACTGAAAAGGGTAATGGACCATCAAAAATTGCAATTTTCAAGTGTTCATTTCAAGCATGAGCTGTTCATCACTAAACAGTCACTTTATTTGTCACTTTTTGTTTTCTAGCTTTGGTTACTGACTTCAAAGTAAAACACAATATAAGTACTGTGCCTTTTGCTGTGTCTTTGACACATAGTGATTTTATAGTATTGACCTGCCCTCCAAACCTAACGTTGGCAGTAGACCCAATAAACAGTGTGTGGTTTTTAGCAGCAGGTGGTGTGTGTCAGTTAAACGCACAGCATAGCCCTTCAGAGCACTGCACTAACTGAACAGTAATTGTACAGTACGTTCCTAGATGCCACCTAAGTGTGAGAGATATCCAGGTCCCTGGAAGTGTGTCCAAAGTATTTTTTTAAACAGGCTGCAGTTTTAATGTTTAAGGTTCAGCTATAGAGAACCCTGCAGTATTATAGTCTCACAGCAAACAGATTTTTAATATGTGTAGTTGTAGGCACAAAACCAAAGCAGTGAAGTAAAATATGGATAAAACCATGAAACAATGACTGAAAAATAAAAATCTTAAATGTATCAGGTGCTTCTGATGTATAAGGCCTGACTGCATACCTGGAATCCAAATTGTATGTGGGAGGTTGGATAGGAGACATATGTAAAATATGTCCCCTGTATAAACTCAGTTAGAGGTTTTATAGCCTATCAGATGACATTTCCCCCGCCATAGAAAATCCCCCTTTTTCATTTCAGTTGGATGTGTTGGAAGTGAAGAGCAAATATCCTTATAGAGTTTAAGATTCCATTTATCTGAAAGGGGATTTCTTCTTCTAAATGACAAATCTTATGGAATAAAACTGGATTTTCTGCTAAAACAATACAAAAAAAATCTCCTTTCTAGAGGACAACTGGAATTTTATAGCTAGAGGACTATACTTATAATCCTTTTTTTTCCAGACTGCTTATAAAAGAGCAAATCCACAACGGAATAGATCTTGTATTTCAGTCTCATTTCCATTTACTAAGCATATTATCATTGGGTGCTTTGGAAGAAATGAATGACCTTTCGGAAGCACTGGTGAAGTCTTTAGGAGGTACAATATGACTGTCAGTCCACAGCCGGAGGACTGGGCAAGGGTATGAACATTCTGCTAAAATCAGCTCTCCAGTAGCAGTGAGCAGGACCTGCCTGGAAATTAAGAGTAATGGTGACAGATGGAGCAGTAAAGAGCTCTTGTAAGGCTTAAACAGCCACAAAAGTCTAATTTGTTCACACACTATGGAAAAAATAATCAAATAATTATAAATAAAAACTACACAGAGAAGGTCTTGAAATCCTACATAACAATTCCTCTGAGGTATTTTTCTAAGAGTCTGAATCCCTATATGTATGTGGGTAGTTTTATCCATACTGATCCAAATCTAATCACTGAAAAAAATTCTGCTTCTGAGCCCTGTCACAGGTTCATGCAATGCAGCAGTTGGTACAGTACAGCATCATGTAGATTACACACTTGTTTACATCAGTTTTCCTCTTAGTAGTCCACCCATCCCAGTGCCTGTGATTTCTTGTTGACAGATTCACCTTAAATATTTTATCACCTCTTCACTGTCACCACAGTATTGCACAGTCCGTACACAGAAAAACAACTGTTTGTCAGGTGCATGCCACAGCAAAAGGTTTGGTTTTGTCTTAGCTGGCAAAGTGACCAGGATGCAACATTTTATATTTCAATCAGTTCATACCCCACGTTTTAGTTAAGGCTTCAAACATTTCTTTCTCCAGAATGTCATTTGGATTTATTAAACATCATCAAAGCTGCAACGCTGCCGAGTGGTAGAATGTTAGCTATCCCTGAACCTATTCTCTATTGCTGCAGACTGTTCACTGCACTGCAGCAGAGTTACAGTTTTGGGAAACCAATCCTGCCACTAAATGTTCATTGGAAAGATTTACAGTGTCACAAGTAGCCATATTTTAATTTAGTATCAAAGAGTCAAAGTTAACCAAAAAACTCTCTCTTTTTAAGTAAAACTCTGAAATATTTTTAAAAGATTCCTACAGAGAGAAGGTTTAGTGGACAGGATTTATTAATAGCATCTTTTATTAAGTTGCTTTGAAGGTCTTTTCTTCAGCATTATCTGCACAACATTAATGTCTTTCAGTTAATTGGCCTTTTTTTAAAACCCTTTCCTTCCCACCTAAACAGATTTGTGTGAGTTTTTCCTTGATTACTAGTTTCTAGTAAATTAACTTTTATTCCATTTCTGACTCCCAACCAGAAAAAATTACCCATTGACTCAAACTACTTCTCCAAAACTTCCCTTCCCTTTATGAAAAACCAGAGAATGTCTTAATGAATAAGTATGATCTATATCACTTTTTTTCTTGCAGTAAAAACAATTCCTTTGATCTACAGCACGATGCTGAACCCTCATGTCCATATAGACATTTACCTTTTTACTTATTTCCCCACTTTAAAGTAAAGGATACTGCATTATTCTTCACATATAGATTAAAAGAGAAACTATTGGTTTAATATATATTACTTAGACCTTTTTATAGCAGTATCCTACATTAATGATTGCAGTTACTACTGCGACTCTTTCATAAGAGGAATCATTTGGGACCATGATGATGGAAACTTTAGTATTTCAGAGCAATCATATGAATAAAAAAGATGTAAAACGTACCCAGTTTTGGCGAAATTTGTCCAGTATGTCATAACTACCGCACTGAGCATGACGTCATTCTTGGAGAAATTGCAGTTGAACAACTCGGTGGGACCAATCATGGGAATGCCAAACACATAAGGAACTTCATCACCGTGTGCTGAATCAGCCCAGCTTGGTTTCATTTCACTTTGGCAGTGGTGATAAAATGCATAGAAATATGTTGGAGAGCCATACTGGGCATGCAAGTCAGCTGTAGCAACAGCTGGGGCAACCCACTGGTGGTCAGTAAACAGAGCTACCAGAGTCTTCCTTCGTGTTTCAGGGTTTTCTTTATCTGCCCAGTCAGTGTACATAAATTTAATGGTCTCCCGGAGTGTATCCTTCCCTTCTGGATAGCCATACAGATTGTCCACAAAATTAGAGACGGAAAAGTCAAAGTCATTTGGGGAAACCCCATCTTCATTATCCACAATGCCATCCACAAATTTTAAGCCTTCCCCTTGGTTCACACCTAGCATTATGTCATAGTTGAGGAACTCTCCCTGTTCCATTAGAATCTGAGGGTCATCTGGAATCACATCCCCATCAATCACAGGCCCAAAGGCAATGTGGTACGTGGCTGGAGTGATGGTCTGCTGAATGAGCTCTTTGTAGTTCTTATTCCGAAGGCATTCAACCAAGTCAGTGGTATCCAGCATGTCGCAGCCCACTTTATCTGCCAATATCCGAGTGTACTTGGCAGGCTGGTAGTTCACTGCCCAGCTGGACAGGGCTGTTCCACTCTGTATGATTGCCTTTTGGAACAAACCTGCAGGTGCAAATTGTTTAAATGCAAATGAAATTACATATAAAAAAGCTGCTTTAGTGAGCAAAGAATACTTTGATTGTACGATACCTAAAGGACGTCAATTCCTGTATTTAATTTCTATTTCCACTTACTTTTTAGCTAATTGCTTCCTTTTCACTGTAGCTTTTAATATGCTTCTAGTTCAAATTCTTGATGGTCATATATATAAAGCATGATGGTTTTAGGTTAGTATTTCAAGGACAAAATATATTTTTCACAATAACCTCATACTTTTAACAAACATACCCCAACTTTTTCACAGTGGTAGTTCTTTAATATTTTGCATTTTTTAAGGAGTGCCAGCTACAAGCAAACATATTCCCTTCTGCATGTAAATCACTCACATAAATATGCTCTTCACTAGTTTAAAGGTCAAAGGAAAATTATATACTCCCTTTTTCCCTTTTAGAGAATCCAGGCATCATATAATTTGAACAAAAATATGCTCAGCTAAAATCAGTTTAATAGGCTTGATTTCCAGGATCCTTCTGCTCTGACATAATTTTTCATTACCAACTTATATATATATTTCCTGTTATCATTAACTATTCAGATAAATTAGAATATATTTGAATTTTTCTGAAAGGATTTGAAAATTCTAGGCCAGATTCACCTTGTGCATTCTGGTTGCTTTTCTATTCTCTGGTGTGCAGAGCAATCACCAGTCTGGATTTAGTGCTGCTTTGTGCCATCAGAATGTAACAAAGCAGTTGCAGCATACCTGTGAATCATTCCCCTCAGTTTTTTTGTTTGTTTGCTTGGTTGGGTTATTTTGATTTTTGTTTTTCTTCCCAGTGGGAACACTGAAATGTGCTATTTAAATATTCCATCTAACATGCCTTAGCCAGGGTATGTATACAGACTACAAAGTGCTTACAGACCGTGTTAGATTTGTGCACTAGAAATGACTAAGACAGACGTTCTCTCCAAATATTTAGAAACATATATGGTGAAAACTCACTGTGATCAATACATCTGATGATTATTACTTACTGCACAAATTACACTATGGAAAGCCTGTGATCAGTGAAGGTTTTCATCACTCCATCTGTTTGCTTCTGGCACAGTTTATAGCCCAATCTTACTCATTATGGCCTATTTTTTAATCAATATGTGCAATAATTTTAGCTACTTTTAAAGAAGGCATGCTTGCTATCAGACCTGCTGTAATTATCGCCTGCTATAGCTCTCTATCCTAGAGATTCCTCCAAGTGTTAATGTAATGGGAGGAGCAAGGCAGAATAAACATATCAGAGATTTTAAACAATTATAGTCTTTTTCTAATTTTTTACACTATTATTGATCATACTTACAGAAATATTTCTGTAGAATTATTTAATACCTGCACTGTATATTAGTGCATTTTTACTTGAGGGCCAAAAAGTCTTGCAGCTCAAATTTGTATTACAACTCAATAAGACTTTGTGCATTTATGGAGCACAGGATCAGACTCTACATATATGAGGCTTACTCTTTTTTTTTTTTTTTTTTTTGACAGAATTGTGTTGCATTTATGGCATTAAAATGTAGGTCTGATGTACATAAACAGGACTATCTTGCAAATTAAAAAAAGTCTCACTGTCCCATTTTATTTCAGATAGGACAGACTGTTGATGGAAGAGGGAATAGGGGAAAAAAACGTTATATAGACTAATCAATGTAGATTTCCTGGGACACTTTTTAATGTAAAGTTCCAATGTCAGTTTTAAATTTGATTTCATGCCATAATAAAAAGCATAATGTAGGCTTGCCAAGCATGAGCTGGATTACTGCCCAGCATGTATTTCATTTAAGTTGTTGACATCATATAATTCTGAGCTTCTACTTTATAGTGCCAATACCCTGGCATCAGTCTACAAACATTGCACTATGCTTAAAAGGATCCCTTTTGCCTTTATTTTACCAAAAGGTTCATTACCTTCTGAATAGTGAGACAGTGTTAGAAGACTAACACAAGATGCTCCTGCTCCAGATCCAAAAATAGTAACCCTTTTTGGGTCTCCTCCAAAGGATCCAATATTTTCCTCAATCCATCGTAAAGCTTGAATTTGGTCTAGCAATCCATAATTGCCTTTTGCAGCTTGGTCTCCAGTACTTAGAAAACCTATAAGGCAGAAAAGACAAATTCTAGTTCAACAGCCACAGAATTACCTATGGGGCATCCACATATTCACAACACATATTCCCTTTTTTTCTCTCCTGCATTTTTTTTAAATAAAAGGGCATAGTCCTAGCTACATGTCTTTGATGCAAGCATAAAAATACAGAACATGTTCCCCCTACTGCAGATGTCATGCATGATGACAAAAAAACCCACATTTTTTTCAGTATAGTCCAAGAAGCAATGAAGATTGAAGGTTTTACAAATCTGATAAATCTTCATGTGAGTAACATAAAAATCCCCTCATCCATATGTTGTTATTGCACTGTGCTGCCATAAAACCCAGGGAAAAATAGGACACCAGTTCTTTCATTGAAGACAATGATTCCTTGCACATTCATTTAGCTTCCTTTTGGCATTGTCCAAAATAGTCCAGCACTGAGCAGCTCTGCAACGTATAATCTTTCTACACCTCAGCGACAAGTATGGCTAAAATAAATTAAAAATAAGTAAAACAAAAGTTAAAATCTTAACAAAAAATACACTTAATCCAATTCTACTAAGGATATTTACAAGAAAAATAGCAGGTAAATCCTCAGCTGTGCGTACCTGAACATCCAGCCTTCATCTGAACAGATCAGATTCCAAATCTTTTCCTGGAGATTTCATGAAAGGTTGTTTTCCATTTTTTCGCTCCTATATGATACTTATTAGATTTTAGCCCTGGTCTTTACTAGGGAGTTATTTTGAAATAACTCCCATTATTTTGACAGAAGTGAAGCAGCCATGCTACCAAGCCCGTTATTTTGAAATAATGGAATGGTAATTCCAAAATCTGTACTCCTGCTTTCCATGTTATTTCAAACTAGTGTTAGTGTGGACTCTCTGATACAGCTACTTTGAAATTATTGGCCTGCGCCGATTACTCACAGCTGCGCTTGTGACTGCTCTGGCCATACCTGCGGACTCCACTGCTCCCCTTCTCCTACAGAGCTTTGAAAGCAGCAGGCAGCAGAAGAAGGGCTTGTGGCATGAGGACAGCCTTGCCAACCCTGTGCTACACAGCACTCATCCCAGGAGTCATGTTAGACCCCAGAGCTCCCTCTGAGCCCCCTCATGGCTGCCAGCACTCCTGCAGCAACCTCGGCTGCAAGTGGCCAGGGACGCAAGAGAGCACTGGCCTGGACTGGTGCAGAGATCCTGGATCTCACTGAGGTCTGGGCAAGGAGACCAACCTCCAGGATCTCCGCATAAGGAGGAGAAACACCAATGTCTATGGCTGCATAGCTGCCAGCCTGGATGAGAAGGGACACACGCAGACCCTCAACCAGGTCTGCATGAAAATAAAGGAGCTCCAGCAGGCCTACTATAAGGCCAGGGTGCAAAGTGAACATTCTGGGGTGGCACTGCACATGTGCCTGGTACTACCACCATCTCAATGCCATCCATGGGACCTCTCCCCTGTCACTGTTGAGTCCATGAGGGTAGGGTTGTGGAGGTGGAGAAGGAGGAGGAGGAGGAGGAGGAGGAAGACGAGACCATGCCCACAAGCCAGGAGCTGCCCCTTACCCCGGAGCCAGTTCCCCCCTCCCACGATGTCTCCCAGGCATCGGATGAACTTCAGGTGAAAGCACTTCAGGTGAGTTCTATATCGTTACCTATGCATACGCAGGGGCAGGTGATGGTCTGTGGGGGACCGCATGCTCCTTGCTTGACCTACTCAGCCTTGGGGGTCAACAACAGCCTGTACATGTAGGTGCACATAGAGTGCCAGTCTGAAGCATTGAACCCCTTGGTCCTTCTCATAAGGTTACTGGAGAGGCCTGCCTTATTAAGGCCTTCATGGTGGGACACCTTTCTCTGACAAGGCACCACTAAGTAGGCTTGGGTAATGTAACCACACAGCAGTGCCACTCATAGCACAGGCTCATAACCATACTCAGGCAGTATTTACTCCCGGTCAAGTGTGGTGATGCAGAGGAGACTGTATGGGAACCTGCTGGGGGAAGGTAGAGGAGGGAACCTCAGTAGCACTCTCTTTAGCAAGAAGGATTTTCTGCTCACACACACCTCCCTCCAACAGGCAGGGATAGAAGTTCTCTCTCTGCAGGACACCACCAATGCCGGTCCCAGAGTGTGTGAGACATGGAAGGAGGCTGAGACATCATGTCCCCCCTTCTGCCTTCAGGCACCTACCCTGGCCAGCACCTTCTCATGCCTGCTTGTCCCCAGGCCGTGGATGTAGCGATGCTTCCCTGGTTTGTCCGTGTCCCTATAGGAAAGTGCCCACTGTCTAGATAACAGATAGCCTTGCTCAAAGCATAGCACCATCATCTGAACTGAGACCTTCGGAGTTGGTTCAGAGATTAGTGCTAGGCTTCATACGCAGTTTCTCCAGGGACGACTGCCCTTGTAACTTTTCTTCAGAGCTGAGCCAGCTGTGAGTGTGGCATGTCCAACACCTCCCACATCATCTTCCAACTCCGTAGGATCTGTAGGAGGAAGAGAACCTGGGAGGAGCTAATAAGGGAGCAGATGGCCTGCCTGTAGTTCCTCATCTGGGGTGTCAAGCAGGAGTGCCAGGAGTGGGCCATTGACCATGAGGAGTGCCAGACAGACCAGGAGCAGTGTAAAACCACCTGGGACCAGCTGTTGAGCCAGCACAAAGCCATGTGCTCCTCCATCACCTCGGTGTTGGAGCACATGGCCTCGTGCATGGAGCAGACCACCAGCTACCTCCTGCCCCCGGCCCTGCCCCTATGGTTTCCCCTCTTTCCCCACCCTCTCCCAGTGGCCGCTGGGGCCCACAAACATGAGGCAGTGGGACCTCGAGGCAGCCAAAGCCTCCAAAGCTGACCAAAGAAGGCATCAGTTCCAGCCCCATCCCTGAGCCCCTCCTTGGTGGGGTCCATGCTGCCCATGTAAGGCTTCAGAAGCCAGGGGAGCAAGGAGTAGGCTGCGTCACCCAGGATGCACATGGGCATGTCCACATCCTTGACCTTGATGGTGTGGTTGGGGAAAAAAGTGCTGGAGGGCATTTTCTGGAACAGGCAGGAGTCCCTGAAGATGCAAGCATTGTACACCTTCCTTGATCACTCGCAGCTGATGTCCATGAACTGTTCCTTGTAGTTTATGAGGGTCTGCAGCACCATCAAGAAGTACCCTTCCTGTTTATATAGTCTGAGGCATGGTGGTCGGGGGCCAGGATGGGGTTGGGCGTGCCTCCTATGCCTCCTATGCCCCTCATCCCACAGTTGGGGAAACCCATGGTGGCAAAGCCATCCACAGTGGTGTCAATGTTGCCTAGAACGATGACTCTCTATAGCAGCACATTGTTGAAATGCATTGACTATTTGATTAGTCAATTACTTGATATTTAACAACCCAAGTAGGTTGATGTCAGGTGTCCTGTTACCTGAGGGCAGGGAGGAGCCATTCTCAGGGCTTCAGGAAGGTGGCCTTCTGCATGCAGAAGTTCTGTAAACACTGCTGGTCATCCCACTGCTGAAGAACAATGCAGTTCCACCAGTCCAAACTGGTTTATTTCTGCCACACCTGGTGTTCAATGGTGTCCAGGGAGCTTAGGGGCATTTGCCGCAGCAGGAGTGCCAGGACCTGGGTGAAGAGATCCTCTGGGTCGGGCTGATCATTGGCCTACTGGAGCAACATGTGGGCAGTCTGGATGAATTGCACCATGAGGCTCAACATTAGGCCTGTGAACTTGACATTGCTTTGCAGCAGCTCTGGCTCTATGATGTCAGTGCCGTGGCATCTGCAAGGGCAACCAGAGCACACTGCAGTCTGGTGTGTCTAGACTTCATGGCTCCGTCGATGGAGCCATGTAAAGTAGCTTACTCGACATAGTCAAGGACATAGTCAAGGAAGAGGGGATTTAAATAATCTCCGCTTCATTAAAATAAAAAGGGCCACCGCGCTGTGCTGTCAATCAGCTAATCCGGCACAGCGCAGCAGTCTGTGATTAATTTTGTTTTTCTGAAACCAGCTTACTTGAAGCATCACACTCACCGATGGCCCCTTAGTGTGAAATAAGATCTTCTTTCTGCTGAGAGAGAGCTCTGTGGGGAAATTTTGAGGTCCTTAGGAAAAAAAATGCACATCAATTTTGGATACATCCCCCAACTGCCTCACTCTGAGGATCTAAAATGTTTGGTCACAAGATATGACAGCTCTGAGCAGCATAAGTAACTCTACTGAATTCTGGGCCTTGCGAACATGGTCCATTTGAACTGTTTTGCAAAGAGAGCATAGATATGTTGGTTGTGACTCTGGCTATTACTTTAGTGCCCAGAAGTTACTTCTAAATGCACATGGCTGGAATCTTAACAACAACAACAACTGCAACAACAAGAAAAAGCAATTAGACTATAGAAATGGCAGCTTTTAAACTCAGCGCTAGTGTTTCCATGTCATGGTCAACAATACAATTTCCAACTGTGTACAGAAAATTTGTGCAAAGATTTAAAAGCAAAATCACATAATATCCTTGAGTGGAATGCATTTTAAACAAGGGATTAAATTCCACATTTAGGATATATAATTTGAATTGTATATAATTTGAATTATAAATGCTGCATCATAAATGCTGACAATGCTAAAGCAAGATTTGCCACAATTTAGTGAAATGCACTCGCACCAAAATCACTTTCTGATATTTAATTAGCAATTACTAATTAGTATTTAATTCCAACAACTGCTGTATAAGCACTTGCATTCATCTTGAAACAGTTGCTTGAGTTTACTACTATATGAATCATACTGTCATTGCTAGAAAAGATCCTTTTATGTTAGCTTACTTATGAAAACTTCTTTAGTCAGGATAGGCATGGTAGTTATAAAAGTAGTGCTATCTTCTCTTTTCCATTTAACACTGAAGAAAGAACCTATTAATGCATAAATGCCAGAACAAATTATTTCAGCACTGGCATGTGTCTTTTTCTCATGCCCATTTATTATCTTTTGTGGGGTGGTCAAGCAAAGAATAA